AAGCTTCGCAAGGCTCGCTATAAACGTCTACATATTTGTAAAAGGATTCCAAAATTTAAGAATTGCCCAGGGTTAAGTTTCTCCCGGATCATTCGAGGATAACAAAGCGACAAATTGGCAGCAAAATAAGAAGCAAATAAAAATTCAAGAGAATTAAGATGACTTATGTGGAACATGGGTAAATGCCTTTTAATGCATCGCTAGATAAGTAAGAGAACTTCGTAGGCGCACCTCTCTTTGCAAGATAAGAAACTGTTGCATGAACAAGGAATTTAACGAATGGAAATACAAAATAGGGGAAAAAATCAATAAATTACATGTCTACTACAATTTTATGAGGATTATATTAGAATAAATAGTAATGTTAATAAATTATAAAAATGGATCGAGTCAGTCAATATGCGACAAGATTCAAAGATACAAATTTTAATAAAAGCTATTCTTCTGTGAAATGAGTAAAAAAATAGTGGAAGCAATTATGCTCTGAGAATTACAGATCCTTCGAATATACGCTACATAACAGCTAAAGCACAAGATAACGTGCTCCAGCACAGCAAGTAGAGAAGTAGTAGTAGTGCATACCTTGGAATTGTGATAATAGAAAAGCAAATAGAACCATCGTTTCAAACGACGTCGCCTTATCACTGGAGCGCATGAAATCGATGAACGAAAAGCGCTTAGTGCTGCAGCTGACTCAGTCAGTGAAAATTCACGAATTTTATTGTTATCCGAATTACGCTGAAAATTCGTTTCTTCAATTCACAAGGAAATTTAGGAAATTTTATAATCGAAGCAAGCCATATGGATCACAACAGTTAGTGCTTTTGAGTTTTGCATATTCGCCGAAGTTTAGACGCAATGACCATGACTTATACAGCAGTGCAAATTTTGTATGTTAGGAACGCTACCGCACGTTCACGTTTACCTCCGACGAATGTCCGCCAACCCCGTTTTGCTGAGTAAACATAAGAACGGGGGTGATCAGCAGCTATGCGGCTACTGAATGGTCTAAAATGGAGGTGAGGTCAAGGAAAGGGAGGAAGAATAGAGGAGAGAAACGAAAGAGAGAGACTTTAGACCTAAAGGAGGTTCAATGATATCATCTTGGATCACAGCTTTTCAACGCAGAAGTGCTTTCTTTCGGCAGATATCAATAAGAATAAAGATTAGCCATTAACTAAGATTACATGACATATCCATAAGCCGCTTACTCTTACTTATCCATGAAAAGGCTGATTTCGTAATTGTATATGTGTCGGCGACATATAAAAATTGATACTTTAAGTCATTAGAAGTTTAATTATTGGAAAATTCACGGTTAATAAGTTGTTTCCTGCCTCATTTTCTGCTATGACATCATAATAACTTAGAATTAATGACATGATTAGCTGGAATACAAAGGAAGGCATGAAAACTACTGTTTCTCTCAAAACCAGATCAGATCACCTAATATAGTCTTAGAGATTCAATACAACTTATTCAGGCTTTCAGAGTGCTATTGAACATTAAGGTCAGGTTATTTAGAAGCCTAAATATTAGATAAATTTCATCGCAC